AGAAAGAGGAGTGATAGTGTAACCGTTTTCGACAGAACGTTTGTCGAGGGATTGGCTTCACTTGTCTCTTCGACGAGTTCGTAGTTTGGTGTGGCGAATGGCAAAACTCACTGATGATGCCGACTACGATGCCAGCGAAAAGTTTGAGAATGTATCAAGTCTACTGTCTGATGCCGGGAATCATGACAACTACTATTGCGTTCTACATGGTCTCCCTGAAAACAAGACCAAGTTGCGACAACGAGGTCAACCCACTTCTATCAATGGGAATCAAAGCCCACGAGCTCTGCTCGATGAGACGGCAGCTGATGTGCTTTAATGGCCTCAAAAAATAGCGCCTGAAGTAAAACGCACACTGGGACTGGAATCGAGTGAAATCGGTTCATGAGCGAGATCCGGATAGGAAGTCCGAGTCGTATTAGAGCCAATCAAAAGAGAGGGGTCGGGTGAATAGCGGGTGTGATGAGGCCACACTAAATTTGCCAAAAAAGTCACACATTTTGACGAGTGGAATGTAAACAAGTCAGGAGTTGTGATAGCGCAGGAGCTGAATAAGAATGTAAAGAGTTGATTGATAGGCCAGGAGAGAAAGAGGTGTGATGGTGCCACCGTTTTCGGCAGAATGTTGGTTGAGGGATTGACTTCACTTGTTTCTTTGACGATTTCGTTTCCTGTTGCGGAGAATGGTAATACTCACTAATGCCGGTGAAACATTTGAAAATGTCGTAAGTTGATGGTTTGATGCTGGGGCTTATTATAACTACTGTGTCAGATGAATTCTGGCAAGGTGCGTTCTATTAGGTCGCCCTGACATCAAGACCAAATTGCGAAAACGAGGTAAATCCACTTCTATAAATCCACATGAGACTGCGAAAATACCGGGGGCCACATAATTTTGGTCACCATATCATCATATCTAGTTTCATAGAAAAGTAAGTTGTACTCATAGTATTGTGGGAAAATTCAACTATCCATCTTCTCACCTTTAATGAAATATTGTGAGTAAATTTCTTATATTTCTTTATTTTCTTGTATACTCTATGATATCAAAGCGTATGATTTTGCAGTCCCTATGATGTATTAATATTTAATCATTCATGCGATCTGTATGTCTTTGTACTACTAATAAGTCACATGACAATTTAGAGCCAAAAACAGATTCCCGATTGGTCAAACATTTTCCTTTTATTTTGTAACTATACCTGTTTTCTCTCCCTCTTCTTTTTTTCATTCAGATGTAGTTCTTGGCTAGCCTCTATACTTTTTCCTCCTGTTCTGGATGCTAATCGTATGGTTGATTTCAATCGAACGATTAACCTTAAATTTAGCCGTGAAGTCTGCATATTACTTATCGAGGTCTACTATGCACAATCCAGTAGTCATAACTCCAAAACATTCCTTCACCAGTGAGATCAATTTAGAAATTCCTTTAACCTTTCTTTATAATCGAATTAAGAGTAAATCAATAGTATAGTTGTATATGTTTAGTATGAGTTGTTTGCAAGGCTATCAACACTTCTTGAATCTTAACCTAGTTACCCTAGATCGCTTAAACTATTTTAAGGCATCTTGAAGCCTAAACAGTCCTAAAATCACCCTTAATGACGATTTATGATGACTTAGTTCTTTATCAGCAATTAATAATAGTCCCAAAACTTACATCAAAATTAAATTGCGTCGTCTATATTAATGACAAAGTGTGTAGGCGTAATCGACAATCTCAGTATAAATGTGGTTTGGGAGAGGCCTGGCCTGCCTCGAATATAAAATCTGACCTGTGACACACTTTCGACCATGGCTGCTCAATGGAGTGGTAACTTCACCACAATGCACAAAACTAAGTTTCGAATCCTTTTGATGATACAGACGGGGTTGAAACTGCAGTTTAGCCTGAATGAGAACACCTTTTGTGAGGCAAAACTAAGTAAAGCCTATTGGCATCTTGAGGCCTACTTGAGATATCTCAACTATATGTCCTAATATCATCTTAAGCGACCTAGGATGGCAAAGTTTCTATCATAATAATGTGTCTACCTAAGTCAAAACTTTTAGTAAACTATGATGACCTAAGTACTCGAAAACATAATTAGTGTTTCGTACACCAAAATTCACATCCATGCAAATATATATTTTTGAACATTCGAAGTAAGTGGTTTTATTTTAAGACTCTACTTAGTAAACCTATAGTTAATAATTAGCATCACAAATGTATATTTAATTTTTGATTTGATTAATTACTCAAATAAATATTTTAAGTGAATATGGAACATAATTTCTAATGATAAAATGGACCTGGTGAATAAAGTGTTCCATTTTTAAGTTATACACGCTTCAGGAATACATATATGCATACATTATTCCACATCCATATACATATAACCCATATAAATAAATATATAATATGTAGTGATGAGCAGATCATATTTTTTGACTTTGTGTTAATATGGTGTTACTATTGAGATTGAGGTCAAATTCTTGCGATATCAGTCAGGTGACATACAAAGCAAAAGTTCATAAAATTTTTATTTCAATTGAATGAGTGTGTCTCAATGACATCGTCATCCTTAGTTTTCCAAAAAATTATATTACTACAAACAGCTTGGAATCAGCTATCATATATAGATATATGTGCAATTTAATATGCAATTATGTATGCATATAGAAAATGGTCCACGGCAACTTCAGAAATCCTTCTCTAGATTCAGTTAAAGTATTTATGTTAGTGTGTGATCTACCTGCTGGAATTGATCAAAGCAAAAGAAAATAACATTATGTGATTTTAATTAATATACTACCCATTTAATAAGTGTATTCTTGACACATGAATTGCAATTGAATCATTAACTTCAGAAATAAATTTGTTAAGTTGTAAACAGCATTTAACAGAAACACATTAAATGTTCAAATTTAAATTTGCAAATATGATCACCTTGAGTACATCCCCAGCAGCTTTGACGTCAAAATCCCCGAAGTTTATTCTTTTTTTGGAGGTGTCGACCTTAAGTTGGAGTCTGTTGACTTGAAATATTGAGGCTGGAGTGCGAAAAATAAACTGAACATTCTCCGAATTTTGGTAGATTATGCTAAATAGGGACTGAGAGATAAAATTTCTAAGGTAAGTAGCCATTGAGATGGCGTGGATTCTGGTTGACAAGAAAAAGCAATGTTGATCTCTAACAATAAAATAAATACAACACATTCAAATATCCGGCTCTCGAATAAACATCCTTCTAAATTGCATTAAATTTAAACTTCTAGCAGGGCTTTGTGGAAGAATCAATCCCAGATCTATGCCTATACGTACTGATTGCAATTAAAAAGATCTAGACTATCATAATATAAAAATTATAGACTCCTGGCGATTAGACAGCCTATTCCACTACTTATCTCCACCCATGAGTAGTCTTAAAAGCAAGCTTCTGAATAAGGTCCAGTGGGTCATGCGACCAAGACAAGCAAAATGTTGTTATTTCCTCTATTCCGAAACGGAGTAAAGCCTAGTGGAGGTTACGGGGGCAAATAAAATGACTCTCACGGACGGTTTCATGCAGGGTCAAGGATAAACATGTAAAAGAAACTCCTGGTTTTGGTATAATACTTACCCAAATAGAAGATGGAACTTTGCAGTTGGAAAAAACCTGCTCAATTGGTCTTCCAAACTTTTTCCATTCATGCTTACTCATCATATCGGGATAGGTGAGTTGGCTAATTCGTCTATTGTGTGCAGGTACTTTTTGCTTTTCCTTGCCCTTTTTTTCCCATTTAGAGCGAATCCGGTCACCGGAGGAGGTGTCTGTCAAATTGGGCCGGATACTCCTTGAGAACCGCTCGAAGTACCAAGTTTCATTTTCTGAAACAATTATAAGAGTTATTAAGCCAACTCTATTTAGAATGACCTGTCACATAATGAGCCTGATTTACGTGATTGGAGCTACTTTTCGAGGAAAATGTTAGTTGCAAGATCATTTTGCAGTTGTGAGTGTTGATTTAGGCGAAGATCTTCTTGGCGCAGCGTCCTGCGACCCCAATCTGGTAGTACTGGGGAGACAGAAATTGCCAAGGCGAGATTTATCAAAAACGAGGCCAAACCAACAGTCACAACAACAAAGATGACTTCATTCGGTTTCTGATAAGGCCAAAGTTCGAATGCTTTTCATCACATTTTGAATATAAACTAGAAGGTCCAATATCATGAATTTGTAAAGGGACTATCAGAAGCTTAGTTTCTCTTCATATACATGATCTTGCTTCATACGACTCCATATTCTCGGGTTCACCAGCGAATTAACTAAGAATAGAAAATAAAGAGAAATGGGGTGCTACTGTCTAAGTAAACATCGGGTACGAAAAGCACAAAGCTGGGTTATTTTTGAAGACAAGGCTAGTTCTGAACGAAAGGGAGACCTTGTGAAACGTAAGTAGTTCTGCGTCATTTGCCATAGATTTCATGCTTTTTAGCATTGGATCATTGAGGTGGCATAGTCCCAGACGAATATTACGGCAAAGGTCACAAAACCCCCTACGTTCCACAAGGTCTCCCTGGGGGTCCGACCAAGGTCAAACCAACAATATTCAACTAAATGAGACTGCGACCAAACAGAAATCCACATCACCTTGGTCTTCATATATACGATCTTTTTACTTTGTTATGGCGCGAAATATGTTGAAAGCCGCAGATGAATAAGGTTGATATGTAAGAAAACCGGGTTTTCAAGAATCCCCTGATATAATTATGTTTGAGTACCCTTAATTTTGTTTGACCAATTTATCTGGTGTCCTGTGCGAGCCATGCGTTCGGCCAATTAGGAATTGTGTACTCACATATCCTTGCAGGCTGGTTTATGTTTAGATAACCTCTTTATGTGTGCCTACAGGTCTCTCCCACATAGACGCTACGGCCCGATCTGGAGAGAGGGTTAGAATACTCTGGAAAAAGCCAGTACACTGAATAAAAGGAACGAGTTTAGGAAATTAAGTGGGAATTACTTGTTGCTTTTGGAAAGGATTGGAGAGAGAGGGATAACGAGGGGGAACGAGAAGTAGCACTGAGCAAGAGGAGGAATCTTGATTAG